TTTTTTTTTTTTTTTTTTTTTTTTTTTGAAATGGAGTCTTGCTCTGTCACCAGGCTGGAGTGCAGTGGCGTGATCTCCGCTCACTGCAACCTCCACCTCCTGGGTTCAAGCAATTCTTCTGCCTCAGCCTCCCAAGCAGCTGGGACTACAGGTATGTGCCACCACGCTCAGCTAATTTTTGTATTTTTAGTAGAGACACATTGTTGGCCAGGATGATCTCGATGTCTTGACCTTCTCATTCACCCAACTCAGCCTTCCAAAGTACTGGGATTATAGCCATGAGCCACCACAGCTGGCCTTCTAATCTATTTTCTTTACAATATCTATAAGATATGTTATGATAACCTATTTTTCCTCTATTTTTTGTGTTTTTCTTGATTCCTACTTTTTAAGTTAAATTTTTTCAAGAAGTTATATTTGATTATGTTATTACTCTCTTTTTCAATTTTCTATGTAAATAATTTTCTGTTATCTCATTCTACTGATTTGAATTTAAGATAGTATGTTTTTAAATCCTTAGATAAATGTTAATTAATTATCTAAAGTATTCCTTCAAGGCTATGCATTTTCCTTAAGCATAAACTTAGCTACATACCAGCAGTAAGTTTATACTATTATCATTTAATTTAAAATACTCATTTTAATTCCTTCATTAACTACTGTATTATGTATGAGTCTATTCCTTAATTTCTAAATATTAAATAATTTACGAGTTGTATTTTCATTGCTGATTTCTACTTCATTTTGCACTGTTGTCAAAGAGCATACTGTATTTGGGTCCAATCCTTTGAAATTTTCTGCAACTTGATTTATTGCCCAGCATAGATTCAGTATGGAAAATGTTTTATGACTTCAAAACAAATTTTATTGTAATATTTTGGGGTGAAGTGCTATATATGTCAATAAAATTAGGGTATTATTCAATTTATTCTAATTTTCTATGTCTCTATTTTTATTTTTGCAAATGGTTACAAAAATAAGGATGTTAAAACTCCGATTCTCATTATGGCTTTCTCTATTTCTAAATGTTTTGTCATTTTTGCTTGAATATGATACCATATCACTAGTGCATATAAGTGTAGAACATATTATACTGTCTAGCGTACTTCTCATTTATTATAAAATGTCCCTATTTCTTTCTGATATTTTTCTTTTTATAGTCTAATTTGTATAAATTATTATAGCTACATTAGGTTTATTTTTATTGGAGTTTGCAATGAAAGTCTTTTTTGAATTTTCTTTTTCTTTTAACTGTTCTTTATCTCAAATTTAGGAAGGGTCACTTCTAAGCAGCATTAAGTGTACTATTTTGTTTTTCTTTTTTTTTTTTTTTTGTAATCGAGTGTCACTGTGTTGCCCAGGCTGAAGTGCAGTAGCACGATTTTGGCCCACTGCAACTTCTGCCTCCCAGGTTGAAGCAATTCTCCTGCCTCAGCCACCCAAGTAGCTGGGATTACAGATGCGCGCCACCATGCCAAACTAATTATTGTATTTTTAGTAGAGACGAAGTTTCACCATTTTGACCAGGCTGTTCTTGAACTCCTGACCTCAAGTGATCCACCCACGTTGGCCTCCCAAAGTGTTGGGATTACAGGCGTGAGCCAACTCACCCGGGCTGTATGCTTTTTTAAATAATTATTAACCCAGTAATGCAGTCTTCACTACTTAACTGATGCATTGAGTTCCCTTTAATGAGATTATTGGTATATTTAGGTTTAAGCTCATCATTAACATTTTATTTTGTGTTGGTTCTAGTTGCTTTTTTTTGTATTGACTTTTTTTTTTTTTAAGTCGGCTTCTTTTGTATTTACCAAGCATTTTCTATTTGTTTAAGTATAGACTCTTTTATGGCACTTGCCATAATTGTACTTTACACATAAATCTTTGACTTATATCCAGCATAAGTTGATGCTTTTTCATTTTTTGATCACTACGACTAGTTTTCTAGGCCACCAAAAGGACATAGAAATGAACAAAATGAACTGTAGTTTATTCGATGATTCATTCACATAATCGTATTTTCTGTAATACTTGACAGTAGTATTTTATATATTTTGGAGTAGCATTAAATCATTAGAGAATAAAGGCATGCAAACACAAAGCAGGAAAAAAAAATGAAGCAAGGGAGTGTCTGTCCCAATTTCAGTCTATTTAAGTACGTATCAAGCTGGAAAATAATTCAGTATAACCCTCCGCTAAAGAATAATGCGTAGACACAGTTAACCCGGAAAGACACGAAATGACAAGCTGCTTCTAGTTAGTCTTCTAGACTTTCAAAAAGTGACACATTCTGTGTGATTGTTTTTCAGCTATGTAGATCCAGAATGCCATTTATTCTTCGTATGCCTCATGAATTTTGTTTTAAGGTCAATTGAGAGGGTTCTTTTGCAGTTTTATCCTTTCCCAGTTTTGCTGTGTTCTTTTGTTTTTTCAATTCTTTGTTATTATTTTCATTGCCCAAAATTGAGGTTGTTTCCATCATTATTTTTCTTAGGTCGCTGTTGGATTTAGAAACATTCCAGATAATTATGTTGAGTAATCGTTTTCAAGACTGAATCAGTTGTATTGATTTTCTCATTGTACACAGATTCCCTCTAAGCAATGCATCTGAGGAAGTCCATTTAATGGATCTTCCTGCTTCCCACTTACAATTTCAAAAGTATTGGGGGATATGAGTAGGAATGGGGCATTTATAAATATTTTCCTTTTTTTCCAGTTTTATCAAGCTGGGTAATATTTTTATGTAAAAACATTTTTAAAAAAATATATAAAATTTTAAGTTATTAATTATTAAAAGATACAGAAGTACATGGCATTCAGTGAAGTTTTAACTGTATTCTTGCCTAAGAGTAACTTACCCATTTTGTTCAAACTCAGAAGAGCTGGGGTTACAGTACACCTTACATGAATACGTTAAAAGGACATACTGAGAATGAAACTCATATGTGTGTTTATTGATTAACATAAATACCTGTTGAAATTATAA